ATATATACCATTTTTTTTAATATATGCTATTTGATTTACTTATTTAAAAAATTTTTATATTCTTTTTTTTTACATGGTAATTTTGAATTTATAATTCAAGTACAGTATTTTATCAAGGAACCAGATTTCTAAAGTGATAGAAATTATAGCTGATTTTAAGGAATCTAAATAGTAGAACCGATTATTTATAGCTTTGAACAAATTTGCAGATCGTTTGGCAACCCTTAAAGTGATAATAAATAGGGTTATAAATATAAGAAATTCGAGTTCTGATGTAAATATATGCGGCGAGTTAATAGAAATCAAGCAAATTTATTATTAAAAAATTTTTTATAACTTTAAACAAGAACAGCTTAACAAAACTTTAACCAAATTTAATAAAAAAATTTTTTTACATAATTGTTACAAACTTGTGGAATTAATTTAATTAAATTTGTTAAAGTTTTTGTTAATCTATTCTTGTTTAAAGGTTTTAAAAAAAAAAAATTTATTAAAAAATATTCGCTTGATTTCTATTGACTTAACCATATTTTGGCATATTTAAATAAGTTAATCTCAGATTGCAGGGATCAAATTTGAATGAGTTAATCTCAGAATGCAGGGATCAATTCTAATTATTCGATTCTTGTGAGATGTGAATTAAATGTTGAAAAAAAAAATCGCTCAAAATCCATTAAGGTTTAATATTGTAGAATCTAATTCACCTCACAGAAATTTTTCAAATATGATCGTTAAACTTCGCATCAATTTGTCAAAATACTTCTATACATAAATGACCTTGTGTTTTTATAAAATAGAATCAATGATAAATTTATTAATAAAAAAAGACACTGATTTATTATTATTCGAATAATTTCTCCAATATAACGATAATTTTTGTGATTTTATAATTAATATATAATATGCAAATATTAAAAAAAACTAAAATGCACTGTATAAAAAATTAGAAAATTTTATTTTTTTTAAAAAAAATAGTTTAAAACTTTGAATTCAAGCTAAGCAATCAGTAATAATAAGAATAATGATAATAATAATAAGATGATGATGATAATGATAATAATAATTATTATTATGAAAATACAGTAAAGTTTCAAAAGCGTTCAAATATTATCATAACTTTCAATTTTCTAAAAACAACAATACTTTAGATATAAATTACAGACGCTTAATAGTTAATGTTTTCAAATCAAGAAATTTACCACAATATTTTACAAAATTTTCAAACTCTAATTCACTAAAATTTGTATTTAAACCCAAAAATGTTAATGTGGTTGGCAAGTTTGGAACTAAATTAAGATATTCTTCGTAGCATCCTCTATACCAATTAATATGAAGAGATTTTAGAGATGATTGCTGTAGAAAATTATATATCAAGTTGAATGAATTTGCTTTTGAATTAGAAATAACAAATTCTTTAAGATTTGAACAGTGAATTATTAATGCATTTGCAATTCCTTGGCTTAATTTTTCCAAATGTAAAACTTTCAGAGTAGATCCCCACATAGAAATTAAAGTGATTATAGTTTGATCAAAGATTAAATCTATAAGCATACTTGTTAAGCCTGTAATTTCTAGTTTTTTTAAATGCAATTTGTTCTTAGATAGTGAAGTGCAAAGTTTTAATGTCATTCCTTGACAATGATTAAAACTAATTCTAACTAAGTTTTGGCATTTAGAAATATTTTCTATATCCTCTGGTGAAATTTTGGAAAAATCTATATA